TAGCTAGTTACTGTAGCTCCCATGCCCCCTCCCATTGAGCCTTGCTTTTTCTTGGCCATGGGCCACCCCCACCCCCACTTCCAGTAACCAGACCTTGGCCTTGAGCTTGAATTTATGATGTGATTTGGCTCTCTGTCCTAAAGAAATTGATGGGTAAGCTTCTAAATAAAATACATTTGGCAACCTACCTAGGAACCTCACTTGTGTTTAATTTCTTCATTTTGAGTAGGTCACACTTCTAAGTAGAAGAGTTGTTTAAATGGGTTAAATTCTTATCTTTCTCCAGTATTTTGGTAGCAAACTACCTAGCGGTGTAGAGAATGACTTTGTGCAGTATTTTAAATTGCTCTCCCAGGCTTCTTCTGACATAGTTTTTATGTTGGGAATGCAAAGTTTATGTTAAATTGAGCTGGAAATACGATTCACCAGTAGGGCACATGCCTACCATTGAAGTTTTGAGTTTGATACCCAGAACACACAACACACACACACACACACACACACACACACACACACACACACACACACACACACAGAGTGTTACTATAGCTTGAGTTGTCCTTGAAAAATAAAACAGTGTTATAGTGTAGACATTCCTGTTTCAAACAGTTGGAGTACTTCTAATAAAAAGTTCCAAGATGCAAAGGAGTCATGCTGTAGACAAATGAAGGAAAGGGAGAGCAGTCTTCAGGCAAGGACTGCTTTTCTGCCCAAGTTGACTCAAAGTAAAACAGCAAGGGGCAGAGGCACACTGGAAATTACCCATCTTCAACCAGACCTAGATGTTCCATTTCCCTGCATCTGCATCTCCCACTAACAAAGGGTGAGTTAGGACAAGACCTGGATTGTTAGCTCTTCCCTTCTTGACTAGAGTGCTTGCTCAAGTCAGAGTAAACACATTGTGAGCAGTTGCCAAGTATGAGTTAAAAGCATGCTCCCCTCCAGTAGCCTGGAAAGTACTCCAAAAGCCATATCATTTGCTGTGTTTTTTAGCCAAGTGTGGGCAGTCATTGCTTAGTCAGTAGTTAGCATGGTTGGAGTCCTAGGTGGGTGAAAAAAAGTTATGGCTGTATGTGCCAGTGTCTGGGCAACCTGCATTCCGTACCTCCTCTGCCTGCTGACCCAGACTTGGCCTCCTTTTCTTGAACCTATATAGCATATGCAGAGGAACATGTCTTACTCTGTTTCATTGTGAGTCAGGTTCCAGAAAGTGATTGAGTTTAACAGGGTAGCATAAGTCCATTTCAGAAAGACTGCAGGAACTGGCTGCTTGTGGAAACTCTGATGATGAGGAACCTGTTTCTGATTAGGAGGCATGTTGAATTCCCTGATAACATTTGCAAAGACAGGAGGCTCAGTGGCTTACAAGCTGCCTCCCTTTTTTTGCATGTGCTCATTAGTTTTTATTTTTGAAATAGGGTTGTTGTAGTTCATGATGGCCTTGAATTTGCCATCTTTCTTCATGAATTCTAGAATTATAGGTGTGTACCACTATGCCTGACTCACTGGTGTTTTCGATATCAACTCTTTATTAATTTACACACAAAGTTGGAAAGTATCACTGTGCCCTCCTCCAGAGAGTAGTATCCTACCCTCAACTGCTCCCCACCTTGCTGAGATGGAGCTTGCAAATTCCAGATCCCATTTCAGGCTTACAGCTGTCTGAACATGCCTCCCTGGGTAACAGGCCTGAGTCACCTCCTAGAATCTGGAGCACTTGGCCCTCTTTTGTTGACCTCTGGTTGGGTGTTGACCAGCAATGATGGCAGAGACTAGCACTGAGTGAGATGCCTGTAGGTTTACACACAGACTATGTTGCACAGTGGGTGCTTAATGGCCCACACTTTGTGCAGCCTGGACCATGAACTTGAGAGTAGAACTGAAGCATTTAAGCCTGGAATCTGGCCGAAATCAGCAGTCTCGAAGTGGACACCCTGTTGGATTTAGCTTGAGCTGCAGGTGGCACCAGTGGGTTATTAGCACCTTCCAACATCTGGAGCTACCTGCTCAACCTGTTGACAGGAGTCTGGCTGCTGAACCACCTGCTGGAATAGCAAGGGCCAGCATGTCACCATCCCAATCTACCTGGCCTGTATGCACAAGGTTCCTTCCAGGCTCAATGTTTGGGGATTTTTTCAGTCACTTTCATACTCAGAATGGGCAAAAGTGAAGAGAAGACTGCACTGTGTCTGCACTGTTGGTCACTGTACTTTGAAGATGGTATGTAACTGCCTTAAGTTTTTAATTACACAGATATATATGGAGGGGCATGTGTACCACAACATGCATGTAGAGGTCAGGATTTGGTTCTGCCCTTCCACCACATGGTTCCCAGGCATCAAACTTGGGTCATTAGGTTTGGTGTCAAGGACCTTTCTTTACCTTTACTTGCTGAGTCTTTAAAGTAACACAGCATGAAAAATATTTTTGTCATAACCAAAGCATTAAAAATTCACAGAATGGTGGCCAAGGCCACATTTGTGTAGGCCATTGTGGCATCAGGGCCATAAAGGTTTGTTTTCCCAGACCTCAAGAATCTGGAGCTTTGAACACATCAGCAAGCCATACCTGATTTCAGTAGCCAGTGCTACTAATGTGAGGACAGTGTTTGACTGTCTCCTTTCTGGGGTAGTGGTAAAGTTGGTGAGGCTGGCTCCAGCAGGTAGGTCTTGTCTACTATAAAGAACCAAGCAAGCAACCAAGTGAGAACATCAAAGCATCTGCAGGATGTGTCCAGCTCTCCCTGGCAAGATGCCCAGGACCTTACTGCCTGCTCCTGCTCACAAGTCAGGGCCAGGTTTAAAGTTCACAGCATCTTGTTTTTTCACCTGTTTCCTACAGTTCTAAGAGACTTGTTAATAATTAATGAGTAACTATATCAGGTACCCATCCTTTTCTTCAAGGTAAATAGGATTACTATGGGTATATTTGTGTGTACTCCAGGCCACTGGATGGTAAGGGTGATATTTAGTAGAGGTGGTAAAGACAGGGGCTGTGGTTGGCATTGTGTTTAGTTGTGATCGATGTGCTTGCCTTTTGTGAACTTGGTGCAGCCGACTTTGACACAGATGGTGGATGATGAAAGCAAGTGAAGACTCCATTTATAATTGCTTTGGTGGGGGTCTGCAGCACAGGAGTTCCTGGTTCTGGAATGACTCCTCCTGCAGCCAGTGCTGAGTGGTAGACACATCTGACCACTTGTTTCTATCATGGTCTTCACGTGACAACTGGCAGATTGCTAGTGGCTTGATTTATCATGTGGAAAAATTGAAGTGATGACATCCAGCATTTACTAACACTTCTTTGTGTCACTAAATACAAACAGGATGGATATTTTATTGAAGTACCATTTTAGAAGGTGGTTCTTATGCTAGAAAGTGACATTCATTTAAAATCCTTTAGCAAATTAATGTTGGAAGACTTTAAGCCTTAGCTCTTGTCTTACTTGGTCTTACCTGCTGCGTGTCTGAAGTAGGGACTGAATATGTGTGCTAGTCGTGATTTAGACTACATTAATAAAGTCAAAATCCTGCCTTTTACACTCCTGCCGCCAGGTGGCTAGTGAAAAAACCAATCAAGACCAATCCAGCTGTTACTCAAATCTTAAATCGGTCTTAAATCTAGTTCATTCGGCAGAGCATAAGACTCTTAATCTCAGGGTCGTGGGTTTATGACCCACCAAACCCACGATGTAATATGAATTTCTAAAGGTCTTATCATAAAAAACCTGGAGCCAGATATTGGTGTAAATGCTGAAAGATCAGAGGACAAAGGAACAAGCCATCTCTTACATCTAAGACTCCTCAGCCTGAAAAGCCTCTAGTTCCTGTCTTCTCACACCTTATATACCTTTCTCTGCCCAGCCATCACTTCCTGGGATTAAAGGCATGTGTGCTTCCCAAGCAAAAGCAGATCTCAAGTGCTGGGATTAAAGGTGTGTGCCACCACTGCCTGGCTCTATTTCTCTGCTAGACTGAGTCAATCTCAGATAGTTCAGGGTGACTTTGAACTCAGAGATCCAAATCGATCTCTGCCTCTCGAGTGCTAGGATTAAAGGTGTGTGCCACTTTAATGTGTGACCACTGCCTGACCTCTGTGTTTAATTCAGTGGCTTGTTTTGTTCTCTGATCTTCAGGCAAATTTTATTAGGATACACAACATATCACCACATCCAGCAATTATGTAAAGGTCTTGGAATCACTTTTAATTCTGCTTCAGTGATGAAATATGAAACTAGATGGATTGTACTACAGAAAAGCAAACTGCTGAGTGACAGCATTTCAGGCAGTACCCTGCCAGATGGACATTTCTATGGTGTTTTTGGCTTTTAAATATTGACACTGTTAACTAGCCAGGTTTTGCTGAGCTAAAGCATTTGGAGACACTGAGCCTACTCTATCTTTGGGCTGGATAGACATTATTCTAGGTTGTAACAAAGTTTGAGACAAAGGTTCTACTTTGGGCTCTTCAATTCTATTCAGGGGCACCTCAGTCCTGATACTGTAGGCCTACCACCTGGTCTTTACTGTATCTGTGACATCATCCACAGAGACACTGCATAAAACTACTCAGTACAGGTTCTGGAGCTCCCAGCTAACCTGAAGCTGAACAGCCATGTGTGGCTGTCTAGACTGCACATGTGTGGTAAGACGAGGGAATTGGGCTTACTTCTATAGGAATGAAGTTAGAATGAAGACAGCAACATATGGCATAGACCCTGCATCCCTCAGTGTTTGCAAAGAGAAAGGCAGTCCTTCCCATAGACATAAAACCTTACCCATCCCCTGGCCAATGTCATGTGTCTACCCAGCCCCTTTTGTGCATCTAGCTGCTCTTTGGATCTTTAATTTATTCATTTTGACAAATAACCTCTTGCTCGTACAACAGTTCACTCTCAACTTGCTTCTCTGATTCAAAGTGAACATGAGTGCCTTAATCCTCTAATGGGAATTAATTGCTTGTTTCAGTACTTAACTCTGATCCTTTCCCAATCCCCACAGGGACAAGTTGCTTCCTGAAGGATCCGTGTGTACTGTTCAAAACACAATCAGAAAAGGTAATGATGTTTTTCTTATGAAAGAAGCCAGAAATGCAGAACATTCATTTTGCACTACATAAGTAGTGTTCTCAAAATGATTTTATATTGGAAAGAATTCATTAACCAAATGTTTGAGAAAAGGCTAGCCTCTCTTGCCTAGTTATTTTTTTATAGAAATATGCTATTGTTTTCTTTAGAAGAAAGTTGCTGATTTTCTACAGTTTAAAGTAGAAAACCACTGTCCACATCCTGATTCCATGGTATAGTGACCCCTTCCTGAGACTGCTTCTTGGTTCTGAAACAACCACTTGATAAGGCTTAAATCCCTCTCTCACCAAAACATTTACCATAACAGTCTCAGGAGCTTAGTTGAGAATCCTGCAGTAAGCATTTGGGGAAGGAGGAGCTGGAGTGGAGACCTGGGGAAATGAGAAGGAAGGGTCAGGGGGAAGAGGAATCCAAGGTCATTGGATGCCTAGGGCAGGCAGTCAGTGCTCAATAGAGAGTAATTCATTGGGAAACACGATGAACCCAATTTTTAAAAAAAGAGAAAACAAAAGCTCAGAGACTTAAAATAATATTCTCAAAAATCTACAGTTGTTGTGTGCAGGTCACAACCTGGCTCTGTATCTTGAATGTCCACCTGTGGGTATCCTGTCTGATGCTCACTGAGGAGACTGGGTCCACATTGTGTCTGATGAAGCAGAATACTCATCCTTCAGTGTCATGGTTCAGGCTGACTTGGGGCTATCAAGTTAACATTCACCAAGACAAACAGCCATTTTTGTTTTGTGCTTTCCACCCCTTATTATTAAACTAAGTTCTTGCATTTTTATACAGGACTAATTAAATCTAGCGTCATGGAAAGAACTAACATTGCACAGTGTGGGGGAGGGACAATTTGAAGACATAATTAGGCTTTACTCTCAGAAAACAACATCCTTTTTCACAGTGGCCATCCCTAGGGGCCAGAAGCATCAGAGCAGGGTTCTCCCATCCCTGCTAGGGACTATGAACTTTTCTTTTTTTCTCCCCCCGCCCCCCTTCTTTTGAGAACTCTCTGTTCAGATCCCAGTCCCATTTTTTGAATTGGTCATTTGTTTTGCTTTTAATTCTTTTTTTTGAGTTCTTTATATATTAATGGATATTAATCCTCTGCTAGATATATAAGTGGCTAAGATTCTCTCCCATTCTTCAGGCTTCCTCTGTTGATTGTTTCTTTAGCTGAACAGAAGCTTTTTAATTTTATGAAGTCTCACTTGTCCGTTTTGGCCTTAATTCTTGGGCAGATGGAGTCTTACTCAGAAAGTCCTTTCCTGCACCTATATCATGTAGGGGCCTGCATATGTTTTCTTCTAGCAGTTTCAATGTTTCAGATTTACATTTCAGTCCTTGACCCATGTGGAGTTAGTTTTCATGCACGGTTATAGATAAGGGTCTAATTCATTCTTCTGCACATGGACATTAGTTTTTCCAGCATCATTTGTTGAAGATGCTTTCTTTTCTCAAGTCTAAGTTTTTGGCATCTTTGTCAATTATTACATGACTGAAGTTACATATACTCACTTTTGGGTCTTCGATTTTGTTCCATTGGTCTGTTTTTGTGCAAGTACCATGTTTTTATTACTATGGCTCTGCAGTGTATCTTCAAATCTAAACTGTTAATCCCTCCAGCATTGTTCTTTTTGCTGTGGATTGTTTTGGCTGAGGTCTTTTGTAGTTTCATATGAGTTGTAGGATTTCTCTTATTCCTGTAAATAATGAAATGGGAATTTTTATTGGGATTGCATTGAATCTGTAAATAGCTTTTGGTAAAATGGTCATTTTTACATTAATTCTAATTCATGAGCAAGGGATGTCTTTTCATTTTCTAGTGTCTCTATCTCTTTCTTCAGAGGTTTAAAGTGTTCATTGTAGAGGTTCTTCATTTTCTTAGTTAGGTTAATTCCTAGATATTTTAATTTCTTTGAGGCTATTGTGAATGGAAATGTGTCCATGATTTCTATGCGTGTTTGTTGTTGGTGTATAGAAAAGGTGTGTGTAAGTTGATTCTGTATCCTCTCACATTGCTGAATTTGTTTTTGTTTCTAGAAGTTTTCTGGTAGAATTTTGGGGATCTTGGAGGTATAGTATTAGTTCATCTGCAAATAGGGATAGTTTGACTTCTTTCCCCACTTGTATCCCTTTGGATTCCTTCTGTTTGTTCCCTTTTTGTTCCAGCCAGTACTTTGAGCAAATATCAAAAAGAAGTAGAGATAGTGGACAGCCCTGTCTCATTTCTAACTTCCGTGAGATTGCTTCAAGCTTTTCTCCATTTAAGATGATGTTGCTGTAGATTTCTCATATATAGCTTTTGTGTTGAGGTATATTACCTCTAGTCCTACATTCTCTAGGACTTCCAGGACACAGGAAAACTTCAGCTACAGACTTCTGTAATGAAGGTATGTTGGATTTTGTCAAAAGCCTTTTCTGCATCTTATTGAGGTAATCATGTGATTTTTGTCTTTTAAGTCAACTTATGTGGTTTGTTGCATGTGTTCACTTGGGTATATTGAACTATCCTATATTTCAGGGAAAAAAGCCAAGTTGGTCATGGTGTGTGATCTTTATATATATATATATGTCTGTATTCTTTTTACAAGTATTTTATTGAGCTTTTTAGAGTCTATGTTCATCAGATATATTGGCCTGTATTTTTCTTCATTGAGTCTTTACCTGGTTCTGGTGTTAGAGTGATAGAAGGGTTTGGATTGGGAGTACTCCTCCTCCTCTCTTTTCTTTCCTTCTTTTTATCCTTGAATAGTTTAAGGATTGGCTATAGGTCTTTTTTGAAAGAATTCTGCTGTGCCCTGGACTTCTCTTAACTGGAAGGATATTTATTACTATTTTAATCCCCTCATTTGATATAGGTCTTTTTACGTTATTGACTTCTTTAATTTTGGTGATTTGGCTGAATCTAGAAATTCATCCATTTCTTCTAGGTTTTTTAGCCTAATGAAGTATAGGTTTTTAAAGTATTCCTTTATAATACTCTGAGTTTCTTTAGTGTCTGTTTCCTATTTCCCTGTTCATTTCTGATTCTGTTAATTTGGATTCTTTATTTCTTTTGGTTAGTTGGGCCAAGGTTCTATACTTTGATTTGTCTTCTCAAAGAGCCAGCTCTTAGATTTGATGATTCTTTGTATTGTTTTCTTTGTTTCTATTTCATTGATATCTCCTTTTATTCTTGCCATGACTGAGTTTGGATTTGGTTTGTTCTTATTTTCCAACTTTTGTAGTTGCATCAACTAAGCCATTTATTTGTGCTCTTTTTGAATTATTTTTTGGGGAGGTGGTGGAGAGACAAGGTTTCTACATAGTCCTGGCTGTTCTGGAACTTGCTACATACATCAGGCTGACATGGAACTCAGAGATCTACCTGCCTCTGCCTCCAGAGTGCTTGGATTAAAGGCGTGCGCCACCATGCCTTTAGTTTTAACATCGACATGTATAGGAGCTACATTTACCTTGTAGGAGTGTTTTCAATGGTTTCCAGAGGTTTTGTTATACTTTCATTCTCATTTAGTTCCAGGAAGTTGTTTATTTCTTTCTTGGTTTCTTCTTTGACCCATTCATTCATCATTCATTAATGAGTTTTTAATCTCCTTTAGTGTGTGTACTGACTAGAGATTTGTTTGCTGTCAGTTTTAAGATATTTTTAGTTTTGGGTTTTTTTGTTTTTGTTTTTGTTTTTGTTTTTGTTTTTGTTTTTGTTTTTTTTTTTTTTTTTTTTGAGACAGGGTTTCTCTGTGTAGTTTTGGAGCCTATCCTGGATCTCACTCTGTGGACCAGGCTGGCCTCGAACTCACAGAGATCCACCTAGCTCTGCCTCCTGAGTGCTGGGATTAAAGGCATGCACCACCACCACCTGGCTCAGTTTTAAGTTTTATTGCTTTGTGGTCAGATAGGGTACAAGGATTGATTTCAGTCTTTTTGAATTTATAAAGAGTTTTTGTCCTAGAATGTGGTCCATTTTAAAAAAGCTTCCATGTGCTGTTAAGTAGAATGTATATTCTTTGGTGTTTGGGTGGAATATTTTTATACACACGCGCGCGCGTGCGTGTGTGTGTGTGTGTGTGTGTGTGTGTGTGTGTTAAGTCCATTTGGTGTATGATGTCAATGTCAATTCTGATGTTTCACTGTTTTTGTTCAGATGACTTGTTTGAATGAGAATGGCCTCCCCAGAGGCTCATATTTGAATGTTTGGTCCCTGGTTGGGCAAACTGTTTGGGGAAAGATTAGGAGATATGGCCTTGTTGGAGCAGATGTGTCATTGGGGGTGGGCTTTAAGGTATCAAAAGCCCACCCCAGACTCTCTCTGCCTCCAACTCATAGATAAGATGTAAATTTTTCACTACTGCTCCAGCCAGTGCCTTGCCTACCTGCTTGCCACCGTGCTTCCCCACAATGGTGATTTTGAACTAACTCTCTGAAACTATAAGCAAACCCCCAATTAAATGCTTTCTTTTATAAACTGTCTTGGCCATGGTGTCTCTTCACAGCAATAGAACAGTAACTAAGACACCCGTCTATTGGAAAAATTGCTATATTGAAATCACTTACTATTAATGGGTTCATATTAACCTGTGTCTTTAAATCTCAGTAGTAGAAATGAAATTTTATGAAGTTGGGCACCCCGGAATTTGGTGCCTGTATGTTTAAGATGGTAATGTCATCTTAGCTAACTGCTCCCTTGATAAGGACGAAGTGTCCCTCTTTCTCTCTTCTGATTAGCATGTTGTGTCAGGTATTAGGATAGCGACACCGGCTTGCTTCCAGGTCCATTCTGTTTGGAGTACTTTTGTCCATCCTTTTACTCTAACTCAGTGCCTATCTTTAAGGCTGAGTTGTGTTTCTTGTAGACAATAGATGGATTTTGTTTTTTGATCCATTCAGTCAGCTTGTCTTTTGATTGGAGAATTGAGGCATTGATATTTAAAGTTATTATTGAAATGTGTGTGTTAATTGCAGTCATTGTG